TAGAGCACAAAATAAGCTATGCGATGTGCAATAAGCTTGAAATGCGAAGAAGAAGAAGAAGTGTAATTGCATTTGTAAACAAACACGTCAAGGGTCAATTTCTACTGAATTAAAGCTCAATCTCGTTAACGAACTCTACCAAATGATAGAAGAATCTTTCCTCTACCTGTTAGTGTTATCAGCCTACGAAATTGAGCTTTGACTCGCGAGAAATCGGTGATTGGAATGTTTGATTACAAATGCAATTACGCCCAAATCTCATATCACTCCGGGTTTGTCTCTCGTTGTTTCAGTGGCCTTTCTTTCAAGCTTCGCTGAAGCGGACGGCTGAAAGTGCGCTGATAGTTTCGTCGTCAACGAGACAATCGACGTTACTTTCATTCAAATCGGTGTGCAAAGCAACGGCGAGTAAAACTACAGCCATAATTTCGTTATAAGCGTGCATCTTTTTTCATTTTCGTTTCGTGCTGATAGTCAAGCTAGGCATTATAGGAATGAACACGTTGTATGTTTTCCTTTATTTAACGTCGGTCTCTGTTCCGAAATCTAGTGCCAATCACCGACGGACATCGATTGCCATCCATTGACAGCAATCGAATGTGCAGGAAGGCAGCTTCCACACCTGCGTAGAATATCGCACCCATTCAACACACATGGGCCGGGACCAACGGCTTTACTTCCCTTCCGAAGGAAGACGTGACCAGCGATTTTTATGCCTCAGAAAAATCCCACCGACCTCGACTGGGATTGAACCCAGACCCATTGGGGTATTAGAAAGCAGTCACGCTTACCACTACACCACCGGCGCCGGCTGAACACGTTGTATGAAAGAAACAAAAATCGAGTTCATTTTAGAGCGTCGAAAATGTAGAGCCCTGAGAACAACCCCCTAACAGTCTCCAACACAGGACATCGGATAGATTTTATTTATAGACCACCGGATTTTTACACCCACAATCACCCGAATCACATTGGGTAAGTTTCCCATTTCAGATATTGCATTTTTCGCAATATAGGGGAAATGCAGGTAATGTCTGCCTAAGTGTCCCTAATTTGGGCCCATGCATAAATTCAGAAATCGACTAAATTTTCAATAGCAACCAAAAATATCCATTTGTAACGTCCCAATAACGCGTTCATCTAGATAAAATTGATAAATAGCAGATTTTTAGCGATGGGCCCAATCTTATATCCATAGGCCAACATTAGATACATTTCCCCTACGCACCAAAAAGCTGAATCAAGTTCCAGCTAAATGGATTGCTGAACTGGTTCCAGCAAAAGCAATTTATACTGTATTATTCAGCAATCCAGAAAATGTTGCTAGCTAACAACATGATCTGTCAAAACAGGTAGCCTCTGATCTGTTTCTGACATTTCTGAGATTCACAGCAGCGGTGCCAGATTGTTTTCAAGCTTATCGGTATCAAAGGTTTTAAAAAATCGGTATTTATCGGTATTTACTATTTTAATTAATTTGATCTTTTTGCCTTTTTCGAAGGCGAAAATTTAAACGTTTGGACTAAGAAGTTGAGGGTATGACTCTAAAGATTTTCAAGGCTAAAAAATCCATTCCAAACCAATCCAAGACGAAATATCCATTTTCTAAGCATACGTATCCCTCACAATCGCTCACAAGTCTTTACAAGATCTTGCAAAAGCTTGTGGACGCTTGTGAAGGATGCAAACACTTTGTAAAGGGATATTTCGTATTGGAGTGACTTGGACTGTTTTTTTAGCTTCGAAAATCATAGTGTCATACCCCTACGTTTCGGTCTCCGCTTTAAAGATCCTTATACAATAAAATCACTTTACGTTGCTTATGTGAGGTCAATATTAGAATATTGTAGCGTTGTTTGGTCACCTTATATGAAAAATCATGAAGAACGAATAGAGTCAATCTAAAAGCAGTTTTTATTATATGCACTACGTAAGTTAGGTTGGACGGCTTTTCCTCTCCCGTCGTATGAAGCACGTTGCTTGTTGATCAACATTGAAAGAACGTTGGAATTACGCAAAGATTTCTTTATTAAACAATATCATTTCGCAACGCATTTACTCAGCTGATGTATTGTCAAGATTAAATTTGTATGCAGATCGCCATCTGACCAATTACGCTAAATTTGAAAAAAAGAATTGAAAATATATTTCAAAATCCTCAAAGTCATAGAACATAAGTCCTACACATCTAAAAAAAAGTAGTGTAAATTTCCGTTACTACGATGCACATAAATGGAGCGTCATATATCATACATAGATCATCATATATTATAGATCGTGTAAATTTATGAGACATGTCATGCAATATTCCATATATTTTATGCAACTGTCCACTTTTGTTTTCAACATTTCTTGCAAGCTGCTAGTTTACGTAAAAAGGAAGTTTACATGTATGAATGTTTGCATGCATGGATGTTTACATCGCCAGTAAAATTCAGAATTTTTCTCATAGCCTAGTCAGTAAAGGCACGGTACTACCAAGCCGGAGGCGGTGGGTTCGATTCCCGGTATCATTGTGCTTGCCACACAATATACAAATTCATGCATTGGTATTGGCATTGAAAGCTCTCAATTAATAACTGTGGAAGTGCATTTATAGAACACTAAGTTGAGAGCACGCAATAAGCTAATATGCGCCAAGCAATAAGCTTGAAATACGAACAAGAAGAAGAAGAAGAAGCATATATTATGTCACGCTCTAAGGGGGGAGGGGGTGTCTAAGATTTTGTGACAAACAATGTATTAGATATATGAAAAACGTCACGATAGGGGGGGGGGGGGAACCAAAAAACTTCCAGAGAAAGAAACTCTTCTGAAAGAATTTTAAGGATAGTTCTAATAAAAGTCGCAAAAATATCCGGGAACTTCCTAGAAAAATAATGAGAAACTTATAAGAAACTTTTGGAAAAAATCGGATGACATATCCAGCGCAGCCAGAAAGGTTTCGGAAATCGGGAGAAAATTCCAGAAGTGGCCATTTCCAGAGAAAGTTAGAAGAAGCTCGGAGAAATTGTCTAATAGAAGAAGAAAAAAATAACCGCCAGAAGAAGCTTATGGAGAAACGGAAGTCGAAATAAACTTCTGGGAGAATTCGACGATACTTCCGGTAGAAGTTTAATTTTAAGTGCTTCTTTCGCCGGAAGGTTTTCGGAACAGTCTAAAGAAACTTCTAAGAGAAGTTGGGATAACAATTCCGGAAGAAAGAGATTTTTGGGAGATGTCGGAAGAAATTTTCGGTGAAAATCGGTAGAATATTCAAGGAAAAAAAGCACTTTATTCCGGGGGAAGTTGAAAAAAACTGGCAGGAGAAGAAGGAACTTTCGAAATCGAAATAACTTACCGGGAGGAATTGGACAATAACTTACGGACTAAGGTGGAAGAAAATTCTGAGAATGATTAAATAAACTTCAGAAAGTTAAAAAAAAAAAACATTCTGATGGACCTTTTTGATGACATAAAAGACAAAAGTATTTCCCAACTACCGGACATTACCGAGATGAGCCATTAGCTGTTTCTCTATTTCTGTATTTATCAAGCATAAGCGAGCGTGCATTAAGTTCGTCACGTCGTTTTAGGGAAACTCAACCCCTCCCCCCTTTTGTCACGTTTTTCCTATACCTAATGCCTAATGCAATTGCTTGTCACACATTTGTTGTTTATTTGTCGTCAATCAGTGTAGACCGTAAACCCTCCCCTTAGAGCGTGACGAACTTAATGGATGCTCTCCAAGACATTTTTTAGCTGAATTATTTTTTGAGCATATTCAGAACGATAAAAGTATCTCACAATATTTTTCTCTGATATTTGAGCGCAAGTCGGCATTATTGATTGTGATTATTAAAAAATCGGTACCCTGAGGAGCCTTATCTGTATATAGGTATCAAGTTCGAACACCGTTACAAATACCGATAAATCGATATATCTGGCAACGTTGGTTCGTTCTTGAATGGAAGTGCTATTTTAATTAAATTCATCGTGCCTATACTAGTCGAATAGACCAGGAATCATGAAGTAAATCAATCAAATTTATCATTTTATCAATTAAGCAATATTTTTCATTTCGTTTTAGTAAACACTCTCCATAAGATGTTCATCCTGATAATAAATCGCGGCGATGTTACGAGATCAACTGTATACTGCGATTTTTTTTTAAATAAATTTTTCGATAAATGAATCTGGCATTAAATACAGTGTCGGTATTGCATTAATTTAACCAATTTACAAAAACGAAAACAAACGGATACAATTCAGTAAAAGTGGATAGCACAAATATTTCTGGACAACCAGCAAACTGCTATCAAAACCAATTTACTGCAGCTTCAGCAAAAAAATAACAGATGAACTGAAGATTCAGTCAAATTTGGCTGATTTCCAGCGATTCAAATTTGGTGTGTAATATAACGAAATTGGTAAGAAGTTGATTGCATTTTTGCATTAAGTTGAACTTTTGGGGGATGGTATGTTGCTAAACGACGAATCTCATCTAGTGTTATTTGTTTAAATTATTTAGGTATTCATTAAATTACTCATGTACAACAAACTGGTCGCCTGTTCAGAAAAGCATTTGAAACAATGCAACATTGCAACAATAAATTTAGTTTAGTTTAGTACTTTATAAATTGTGATAATTTTGTTTCGGATTTTACATGTACAAACTTAAACACACATACACACACACAAATCCAATCAGTAACTATTGATTTTAGCATTCACACCTGAATAGAGCAAACATGGCCTAAACATCCTACACAAAAGTAGCAATCCTCTAGCGCTGCTGTAATTTTTCGCTTTGCAGAGTACATACATGTCCTTACGGAGACATCTTGAATTATGCTAACAAGATATACATACTAGGTGCATTCAAATCTACATATCCGTGCGTGGCATTTTTTTTTTTTTTTTAGGCAAAATTATATTATTTATACAAAAAGAAACTAAGTTTAAGTGTAAAAGATAAACGATAAGAAATAGCTCGAAAAACAAAACAAAGAAATACATACTCCGCCTGGAATTGGCACTGTTACGACCGCTGCGGCGTCTCAGCGTACCCGGTGGGGAACCGGAAGTGCCGCCCCCTTTCGGCAGCGAACTTCCGCTATTGCTACAGTACGAATGAGTGTTGCTGCCGGTACCGTTTCCGGTTCCCGTAGTGCTACCGTGCAAATTGCTACTAGTGCTATTACTACAACTACTACTGCTGCCCCCAGCGGTGATTGCGGTGGTGGCCATTTTCAGCGCGGTCAGTTTACTATTGTTGGCAGTTTGAATGTGCGAACTTCGCAGTAGCCGACTAATGAACTGAAGATTTGGTGCTGCAGTGCCCGCCGGATCTTTGTCCTCCTGGGAAACACCAGATGGCAGATGGTGGTGATTGGTGGTGGTAGCAGGCTTTTTCATATCCATCGGGAGGTACTTTTGATCTTCGATTATGCTCTCCATCGAGCTGCGGGATGGCGTCACGATTGCAGGATGATTGCTATCAGTCGCCTCGAACAAGTGATTGCTGTAATAATGCTGCTGATCCGGAGGAGACGTTGACGGCAGGTACGAGCATGATTTATTCATATTTTCATAGTCCTGTTGAGTGGACCCAGATGAGATAGCTGACGAGGGAGATGCTGCATGGACGGCATTGCCGTGCAGGGGGCATAAATTATAATGACTTGTTCTGTTGCTGCTGTTGCCAACGACAATGATCGGTAGCGTTCCACCGGCAGCACCAGATAGACAGGTGCATTTGAGCGATGCAATCGATAAGCTGGACGATTTCTGATGTTTGCGATTGCCGCTCGGTAGCTGATGCGGATGCATACCATTGTATGCGACACGTATTGCACTTTCCTCCGTCAGCGGAAGGGACCGGGTACGGTGGTGGACCGGTTGGATCGAACGATCGACCACAATTCCGCCGGTGGAATTCTTGCCGAAGAATCCACCTCCGGATAGACCGTTAAAACTAGGATTGCTACTAAAATTGCTACTACTGCCTAGATTGCTCTGGGAGGACTTTTGCATCGCCAGGTGTGCTGCTGCGGCTGCGACGGCGGCGGAGGACGAATTGCTATGGGGAGAATGGCTTAGCATGGGGGTGGCGCTTGGTAATGATAAAGCTCTCTGATGGAATATCACTGCGGATGTAACTGCGGATAAGAGAAAGAAAGAAAAAACGGAAAACGAAAAAAAAAAAACAAAACAATCACAGTGACACAACTCGACGGGACACACATTTGAGGGTGTAGAAAGAACAGAAAAAGAATCAAAGATTATGGAGTATGGTTTATAATGGAATTGGGGCGAGGAAAAGAAAATAGAAAAATCAAATTATTCACACAGAAAACTGTTGCGAAAATTGGAAATCCTTGAAGACAGTCAGGAAGTCAAAAAAAAAGAGAGAAGAAGAAAAGTAAGTGAAGCAGACGTCCGAGACCGTTGCAGTGGCAAGTCCTTGAGGATATTATGTCGAAAATGTCCAATTAGTTTGTCGTGTGCAGTTAACAAGCATGTTTTATTCCGTTGTGCTTCGAATCATTGCCGAAATTCTTGTCCAATTATTTGCTTGACTTTTTTTTTCTTCAGCTATCTACCAATGTTTCCGGATTTATAGGATTGGATAATCAGCGAGAAAGGTGGCCAACAGAGTAAATCCAGGCCATTAGCGAAAAAAATTAATTTTAAAATCAATCCTCTCCGATTTCTATGAAACGTTGCATAATTGTTTTCTGTGGGCTGATAGACTGATGCAATATTTGTAATTTTCGCTCCACAGTGCTCAAACGGTTACAAATTGGGTCCTGATTTGGTGAGAAACGGACCGGGCACAAACCCTTTGAAATTTATATGGAAATTACCATGGGAAAACAAAACTTTTTGATCATTGTGTTTTAGCCTTGTTGCATATTGCTCTATTAAAAAGTTCTATCATAATCATAAGACATCCATTAGTACCGCCTAATGACGCGTTCATATAGATACAATTGATAAATAGCAGCTTTTTAGCGATAGGCCCAATATTAGATCCATAGGCCAACATTAAAGCGATTTCCCCTAGTAGCCATGATTTTGTGCTCTATTCTGCGCGCCAGAAACACCAATGTTGCCTACTGAACAGTTGATTAAGTATAATCATAAGACATCAGTGACTTGAATCATTAATAACTTTTGTTCCTTAAATTTGATCGAAAAGTGGTATTCAACAAAGTTGTAGCTGAGTAAATTTTCTTCATGCTAAGAAGAATGTTCAATAACCTGAATTTTTATATGATCCTGGACTTCGAAAAAATGTCATGGTCCCAGAGGTTCTAGACTAAGAAACATTTTCAACATTCTAAACTCAGACATTTATGAAGTAACTTTTGATATCCTGGAATTTTGATGAATTACTTAATCGAGATCTCCGATTTAAAAAAAATCGGGCATAGTAAATTGAAAAATTATTAGCTTCGAAAACCCAAACCAAAATTTGAGAAAATAGGGCCTCGATTAGCACAGTCGGTAAAGGCGCAGCTATAAAACAAGACCATGCTGGAGGCGGCTGGGATCGATTTCCGGTTCGGTCTTGGAATTTTTCGGGTTGAAAACATTCTAGACTTCCCTTTCCCCCTGGAAACCTGGGGGCTCTCCCTCCAAATGATAGCAATAGATGTTACAACTAAACTTTAGTATCGCGACAACTCTGTTAAACGGGATTTAGAGATAGCCCCGATGAGATTTTTGAAAAAATGCGTTTTTTCATACACACTACTGAAAAGTCATGTAAATTTCGGTTCCCTGAGACCGACACATGTAAGCGGGCCTTTTGACACAAGAATCAGTTGAAAGAAACGTGAAAATCAATTCATTCAAACGTTCTCTTCGTCGACTAGCTGATGTTTCGGTTTGAGAACACTTAATTTTACATGAAATGTTTGTTTACGTTCTATGATTTACGTCCAATATGTATTACGTCTCGTGTAAAAGTAGTTATTTCTAAGTGTGTAGTCATAGCTGAACAAACATTTCTAATGTATTTAAATTTCCGATTTAGTGCAAACCAACCCTTAAATATGATTTAGGGAAGGTGAACCAGTAGTTGAGGAACTAATACAATGTATTTATTTAAAAAAAAAATAATAAACGATGTACATACAATTTTTGTACGTCAAAGTAAGCTTTCAATCTGTATATCTGTAGAAGAATATTACATCATAATTAAATTTTATAGATTTTTCTTAAACATGTCCCCCTTTTGTAAACAAACACGTCTATCGCCGATTTCTCGTAAATTGAAACGCAATCTCACGAACAAACCATACCAAATTTTAGAGGAATCATTTATCTATATCTATCTATTAATTTGCGAGAAATAGACGATTGTCGTGTTTGTTTACAAAAGCAATTACGCCCTAATCTCAAAGTTCTCCGGAAATGTTGACTTCGATACTCAGAGGTTGCCTTGAGCAAGAGAACGTGTTTATGTCAAAATTCAAATTCATGCAGGTAGTTGGTCTATCTGTTAAGGTTGTCTTCATTTTCAGCTAAGTTGAGTGTAGAAGGAATGATTTTTATCAGCACTGATTCCGGCACAACCCCCATACCGCAACTATCGGTACATCACTATTACTGGAACACCAATAATACACATTCCTTGGGGTTCCTACTATAGAGAGAAAAAAAAATCACGGCCTGCTAGATGCTCCATTTTTTCTATTCTCATTTATCTCAATTTTGTTGGTGCATGATGATTTTGAATTAATCATCAAAAGTTGGTGAACCAGAAAATCGGAAAAACCGGGAAAAATTCGGTAATTCGAAGTCACCAGGAAAAACCCGTGAATTTCAATGTATTATCCATTTTCCGAAAAAAGAAATGTTGGTCTGTTGGACTGTACCTACATTTTCAGGATAAAGTCACTAAGAAGAAACATTCAAATAATTTAAGCAATTTTGATGTGGTTTTAGAATGAATTCTAGGGATAACACCAAAGTATATCAGAACAAAAAAATCCAAGAGAGTTTTGGGAAGAGCTTCAAGTCAATTGTGAGAGTTCGGATTAAAATTTTTAAGAAGTTCTTTTGGAAATTCAATTTTTCTTGTGAAGAGGATCCGTTGAAAAATTCGAAGAAAATCGAACTTATATGGAATTTTGAGGATAATTCCAAAGGTATCCCGGAAAGACCTTTAAGAAATTTTTACGGAGAATTCCAAATGCATTTTCAGAAGAACTTAGAGGAATGAGATTAATCTGAGTCTAATTTCAATTCTTATAGGGTAGAGCGCTACTCCGTCGTAATCGCCCATTTCCGTTCTATCGATCAGAAAAGATCAATAATATAAATGATTTCACCGGGTACAAATCAATAATAGGTTTGATCCGATGCGTTAGTTCATTACCTACAACATAAATCCTATTAGAGTGCTTTGTATGAATATTTACGCTCATTGTTCTCAAAACAAAAAAAAGCTCTCCTAGCGAATCTCCTTTTTCTACGTTTATCCGTAAGACGAAGAAAATCTAATGACGTTTCAATGCGTTAGGACGAAATTGAAACTCGTAGGACGAATTTAGAATCAAGAAGCAGTGTTAGATTTAAAACAATATCTCAACCATTTGTGACTCTTTTCAAAATCCAACGGTTTGTATGGAAGAATAAATTTAGAAGCCATCTTTGAAATAAATATTCCATTTTTAGTTCAAACCCGTTCAGAAAAGACAGGTAAAGCGGGGGTTGCGCTTAGTAGGACGGAAATAAGATCAAAAACCCTATGGGAATTCTAAAGAGAATTAAAGCGAATTAAAAAAACTGGTAAGAAACATCAGTGAATACTTAATAAAAACTTTAAAATGCGAATTGGATTTATTTGGACTGTTCGACAGAGACTGTAGAGTGTTCTGTACTGTTGTAAGTAAAATTTCAAGGGATTCCCAGAGATAATCTCAAACTTATGTTATTATCAATGCTGAAATGAACTCTGTGTGGGGAAATGGCTCTAAAGGAAATGCTTGAGAACAATTTAATAACAACCTGTACCTAGTTTTCAGCGAATGTTCAAGATAGTTAAAAAATAGACAAATTTTGAAGACTTCGAACGCAAAACTAAATTCAAGATTCAGACAAATGCTGCTGTCTTAGTAATGAGCCATTTAACGTGATCTATTCGTTCAAACGCATTCGGTAGAGTTCCCATGTAATTCACCACAATTACAAATGGCCTATTAGCTTTTATGAGAAAAACTTGTCATCTCCCTTCTCTGCCAACACCATCGGATAGGGGGAATTCTCCCGCCGAGAATTGTCTTCAGATTTTACTCAGAATTATCTTAGAGTTCTCATCGAAATTCTTCTGGAAATTGCATGGAATTTTAAATTCCATTCGAAATGAGCTTTGAATTATCTTTGAAATTTCCTTATAGACCTTCGCAGCATTATGTTGGAATTGCACCCTCAAAATTCGCTTCCCTTGGAATTTTTCACGAATCCTGGAATCCTCTTCACTTTTGCGAGTTCTAGTAAAAACTCTCTTAGAGATTTTCCTAAAGCTCCTTAGAATATATTCTTTGAAATACCTTGGTGTTATCACTAGAATTCATTCTAAAATCTGCTAAAATTTGTTTTGGAAAATAAAATCTAAAATGCTAATAATAGTTCTGCAAAATGACTATATCCTGACAATCTAGTCCAGTCCAAGGGTCTTGAAATCTTCTTGTTTTTTGAAGAGATGACGAGGTGTATTTTTCCAGATATACCATCTTTCGGTTTTCCCGGTGACTTTATGTATGAACCACTTGTTTTTAGGCCCTTGCCTTGAGCACATTTTGCAGCAGCTCTGCAAGAAAATTATTCCGGATAATACACCAAAAGCTAATTCACGGGCGGATTCCTCCAGTGGAAAATCGTAAAAACAGCGCTTTCATCTCCGAAATTGGAGACGCCGGTTATGTAGTGGTAAACGTGATTGTCTCTCACCCCAAAAGGCCTGGGTTCAATTCCAGTCGGCAACGCCGGGATGTTCTGAGGCATAAAATCTCTGATCGCGCCTTCCTTCGGAAGGGAAGTAAAGCCGTTGCAAATAACAGCCAATTTTACGAGCTAACCAGGTTTTCAATGACTAGAATACTCAATAAATCCACTCTATGCTGTCAAGGCAATGCTTCTCTACGTA